AGCAAAATGACGCCTGGGCTGATTCATTCATAAACGCAGCTGGGAGCACAGGCTGAGGCAGCGCGGTGGGAGAAGCATGTATCTGCGCAAGGGTTTATAGAGCCGGGGAGCTCGGCTGGGCTGGAGGAATCTCACGGCCCCGGGAGAATGTTTTTTATTGCAGAGTTTATTAGTGTATTTTTCAATGCACTGGAAGGAATTGAGCAACCAGTTAAAAATGTTTCACGGCCTGGGGAAATTCGTTGCAGCTACTGTGTAACAGGGGCCCACCGTAATGGCTCAGAAACACCACGAGGCCTTTTACAGCAAATTCCCGCCTGCCATTAAAATCTTTACTGGATCGCCAGGCGCCCTTTCCGAGTCTGATCTTCTGAAACAAGACCGGTTGGGTCATGGGGGGCAAGAAAACATGCGTGCGAGTGCCACGCTCATGATGAGTGTATGAACACAGATGCAGACAGTGCATCCATGCAAGCCTAACGTGCTCGTGCCAACGTTGGTGTCGGCTGCTGCCATCCTCGTGCCTGCATACATACACGTGGGCACGCGTGCAAGGTTGCAGGCATAGGCGTGCACATGCACCTTTCTGCAGGCAGAGGGGTTTTGCTACCATGTGGCCCGCACATGAACATATGCATGATGCAAACAAGCGCTCGGGCGGCACACACACACATGCGGGTTTCTGTGCCAAGGCACATGGGGCACACGTGTCCCATGGACGCGGCTCTGCCTGGCCCCAGCGGGAGCTGTTGGCCACATGCTCCTTTGAAATGAGCTGTCACGAGCCATTTGGAGTTGATGATTTCCTCATTCCTTGACGTACTTGGCCACGTCGGCAGCGCCCGGCTGTGGGGAGGTGGCTGCGCCCCGTCGTGCAGGTAGAGGAGCTGCCACCGCTCGCTCTTGGAGGTGATGGGAAGGGCTGGATGTGAGCACAACTTGGAACGCCCTGGTCTCCTCCGGCCCTGGCTCTGCGGTGCCCGGCACAGTCGGACCCGCAGCACACAGTGCCTTGCCCTGAGCCAGCCCTTCGCAGCACAGCTCTCTCCTTCCCCCTCCTCCTCTTCCTCCTCCTTGGCTGCCTCCAGCCCCACATCCTGCCTCACCGATGCTCCTTCTCTTGATGATGGTACCTGCTGCTTCCCCGGTTGTGCAGGGCAGGAGACGGGGGTGATGGGTGGGGGCCGGGCACCCACAGTGCCAGGTAGCTGTGCCGGCATCCGCTGTCGTGTAGCAGGCAGTGCTGCCGGTGTGGAACACAGAGGCAGGCGACGGAGGCCGCGTGGGAGAGTGCTTGCAGATGGTGGGGTGGTCAGGGGTGGGCTAGGACTTCCTGCCTCAGTTTCCACGTGTGCAAAGCGGAGCTGTATTGTGTTTGCCAACGTTGGAGAGAGCGCTGAGAGCGCTCAGTTAAGAAAGGAGCAGCGGCGGGGGCCGGGGGGGGAGCCGGGAGAGCTGCCCAAGCACGGCTGCAGGCAAGGGCAGGACAGAGAGCCAGCAAGGGCAGGTTAGACCCAGCTTGGCTCAGGGGAGAGCAACTCAGGCAGTGGGGCCTGGTGGCCTCCCTGCACAGGGCTTGGGGACAGTGGCTGCGTCTCGGGGCTGCCCTCCTCTGCGTGGCCGGGCTAGGGGAGCACAGGGCCGGAGCCAGCACATCGTTCCCTCCGTGACAACAGGACAGAGCCTGCAAGAGCGGCGGGGAGCTGCGAATGGGGCTGCAAGCCAGCCTGGAGCCGGGGCGGAGGGGACGGCCGGTCCCTGAGCCTGCAGCCCCAGCAGAGTGGGGAACACTGGGGGATACGTCCTGGCCATTGCTGCTGGGAAAATGAGCCCGGCCGAGGCAGGGTGTCCAACTGACCCCCCTGCGGCATGGGCTGAGCTGTCCCTGCTGCTTCCCGCTCCGGCAGCTGGAAACATCTGGCTGCGGGAAGCTTGCTAAATCGATGCGGGGAGGAATCCAGCGTTCTCCCTCTGTTCCCACACTCCAGCCTCTCCCAGCGGCTCCGGTTTCGGCTCAGCTCTGGCATGCTGCGGCTCAGCCAGCTCTGAGACAGCCCCCGGCCCCTCACTGCACCTGGAAAGTGGACTGCGGGGGGCCAGTGTCACCGCCCGTGCCCAGCACAGTGGGGCTAGGTGGTGGCACTTCAGCACTGGCAGCGATGCAGCTAGCGGGATGTGTGCCAGAGGTGGGCGAGCAGCTCCTCAAGTCCCAGTTTGGCCCTTTCCCAGATGAGAGCTGCTGCTTTTCCTGGGGCGAATCCAGAGGCTAGAGCGACCTGGACTGTCACCTGAATACTGGGGGCCAGGAGAGCAAACTGTGCCAGGCATGGATGGCTGATGGTGCTGCGGGTGAAGCTGGGGATGGAGATCAGTGCCATTGCCCTAAAACACCGGGGCTGAAGCACCCTCCAGCCCTCTGCCAGACACCCAAGCCTTTGGATGCTGCTTCTTACCTTGGGTGTCCTGGGGGTCCTCGCTGCGGGGGGTCCCCCAGCAGCGCTGACAGTGCAGGGGGAGGTAGCACCCACCCTGGCCTTGCACGGGGGATTCAGTGAGTGCTCACCCTGGACCCACCGCTCCTTGGGATGGGGTTGGCTGTAGCAGCCCCGCTGGCAGCGGTGCCTGGGGAGGAGGCAGCACCAGGCCCAAGCGCTGGCTTCGTGCCCGGGGGATGGCTGCGGGTGGCCACGGGGGAGGCAGCCGGGGTGTTTTTGTGAGGGAGCTGTGCCCAGGAGGAGCACGCTGCCGAGCTGGCAGGGGGGTGGGAGCTGCTGGCAGTGCCAGGGGACAACGGTGGCTCTTCCATCCCATGCTGCTCTGTCCCGCCCCAGCCCACAGGGACACGGTGCTGCCGGGGTGTGCGTGCCACCTTCTCCGGCTGCGGGAGCCGGGCTCAGGGTGGACGGCACCCATCGAATGCAGCCATGGTGGAGGAGCTGAGGGTGCTGAGTCCTTCCCTGCATGGACCCACCTGGGGACACTGGTGGGTGTTTTATTGCTCTTCCCTAAGGTTCGGATGTGCCTCCCCTCCAAAATTGATCATTGCCCTACAGACCGCACGTGTGGTAGCAGTGGACTTGGCCTCAGGTTTCTGCCCTGCCATTTCAAGCCTGAAAATCTGTCTTTCCAGGCAGCCCAAGGGCAGGACCCGGCAGCTTTGAGGTGCCCCTGCTCTGCCAACATGGCCCTTTCTGCCTGCCCCAACAGAGTCCCCTTGTCCCCAGCCGCAGAGCAGGGTGGGCACCAGCCTCCGGCACCAAGGGCCTCTCGAGCCTCCTCTGCACCCTGGCTCTGTGTGCTCAACCCCCTCTGCTCCAGCCCTCCATCTCTCTGCCCTTGCTGCCTGCACATCCCCATCCTGTGGCTCTGGGGCACCGGTCGGAGGCTCTGTGCCTTTGATTAACTCCTCCAATGTGCACGGGCCATAATGAAGATTTAATAACAAGTTCATGACTTGCCTTCCTGCTAAGCTTGTTCTGGGTGACTGGACACATGCAGGGCCAGGTATCCTTACGCAGCAGCGTGTGCTGGCCGCATTGGGTGCCCCGTGGGCTCACCAGCCCTCTTACCCTTGTCTACAACTGGCTTTAACCTGCTTGATTTAACCTGTCTCATCGGGGCTGTTACCGCTCATCACCACCTTCCAGGGTCACGCGTAAATCGGAGCTGCTTCACTGGTTTGAGGTGCTCCTGCCTGGGCTGGTGGGCGAGCAGAGCCCAGGGATGGGGCAGCATCACCCATGGGTGCTGCCTGCGGCGTGTCTGATGGCGCAGTTGGTATGTGATGGGGACAATGGGACACGAGCCCTGCTTGTGCGCTGGGCGTGTGGCCATGCCGTTGCGGGGAGCCTGGCAGGGTGTGTGCTGGCGGTGTCCCCCCAGTCCCTGTGTCGCTGCAGCTTACACGATGTTGTTGCAAATCCCGAAGCACTGGTTGCCACGTTACATTAGGAGGAGCCACATCCAGCGTCCCTGGCGCCCGCTGTCACTGCGGTTCAATGGCAAGCTGCGGCTGAAAGGCTTGAAATCGGGGATCAAAGCTGCGGTGGCACAGCTGTTAGCCACTGGGGATGCACATGAGCAGGTCAGGGGTGCGGGGGCTGGAGCTGTGGCCCCGAGCCCAGCAGTGCTGCATGGGCTGTGCCAGGAATGACCCCCCTCCTCTGTGTGTGTGTGCGCACACATGTGTGTGTGTGTCTTGGGGGTGTGTGTGCACACGCTTGTGTGTGCAGGTGTGCATGTGTGTTTGCAGGTGTGTATGCATGCGTGTGTGGATGTGCATGTGTGTATACACACGTGTGTGCACAAGTGGTTGTGGTGCAGGTACATGCATGTGCACACGTGCAAGTTGGGGGGTGCATACCTGCCTGTGTGTGTGCATGCCCGTGCTGTGGGTGTGCACACCCGGAGAAGCCCCAGGGCAGCCAGAGCTCAGGGGTTTCCAGCCCTGGGCCATGCCCGTGGGGGGCTCCGTCTCACCGGCTGCTCCAGCCCCCAGCAGAAGCAGCCGCCTCTCCCCGGGCACGAGGCAGGAGAGGGGCTTGGCTTGCACCACTCCCCGACATCTCCTCGGCTCCTGCTGGCTGCGTGCTGAGTGGTGCTGCTGCAGCGCCTGTGTCCCCAGGCCGGAGCACCCCCGGGGCCTGGGGGATGCAGGGGCAGGTTTAGGGACGTTCTCCCAGGACGGCTGCTCCTGCATGGCCCCATGGAGCAGGGTCACAGTGCTTCAGGGTTGCCTGAGTGTAGCTGACCTGCTGTCACCTGCGTGGGTCCTGTGGCCCCACTTGGTCCGCCCCAGCTCGTCCTTTCTGGACCAGACATCCCCACCCCAGCTGCAGCACCCTCGGGGGTGGCATTTCGTGGTGGTGCAGCTCCAGCCCGGTGTGAGCCCTTCCCTGTCCCCTCCCAGCGGGCAGAGCGAGAGCTGATGGGCACAGCCGCAGGCAGAGAGGTGCAGGAGCCATTCATCCCTTTAAAGCCGCCACCTTGTCTCTCTGCAGACCCCGAGTCCCAGAGGAAGAGGACAGTGCAGAATGTGCTGGACCTTCGGCAGAACCTGGAGGAGACCATGTCCAGCCTGAGGGGCTCTCAGGTGTCTCACAGGTGAGGCCTCGACACCAGACCCCCCCCCACCCCTTCCCCACAACCAGCGTCCTTCCTGGGCAGCGAGGGAGGCCAGGGCGGCTGGGAAGCAGCTCTGCTCCAGGTGAGGGCCATGTGGGTGGGAAGGAGCCGGCTGTGCCCCGTGGCCTGGGGACCCTGTGCATGGGGGCTTGGAGAGATCCCCCCAAATGCGTGGGGTGTTGTGCGCGGGGCTGCAGCAGAGCCCTGTCCCTGGCAGTGCTCTGGGCCCGACACTGCCTCACATGCTCTGGGGCAGTGGGGATGGGTGGGGGTGGCATTGAGGGGAGCCAGCTGCCCTCAGACCCCAGGCAGGGACTGAGGTCTGTTCCTGGTGGTCGGGTGTCCCCGTATGGACAACCAGAGGTGAAGGTATCCCCTGCACCTGCCCAGGTTTGGACCACAGGTTCCATCCCCATCCATGACTCAGTTTCTCTACTCTGTGTAGAGGTGATGATGGAGAAACCCTTGGACAGAGCTGACCAAATGCCCAGCAGCCCACAGGCAGAGGTGGGGTACCCTGCCCAGAAGGGCTGGCAGCACCCCAGGGTGGCAGCTGGGGCTGGGGGGATGGCAGGGCTGGGGACAGGGTGACCACTGGGTGGTGAACCAGAGCAGAGTGCCTACCTGTGTTCAGAGGTCTCTCTGACACATGCCTGGGACTACCTGTGTCCTCACCAGGTCTCTCACTTGAGACCGCTGCAGGGTTACTGCTCTGCTCTGGACGAGCTCAGAGTCTGCACGGCAGCTCCAGCCTCCTGCCTGGCTCCCTGTCGGGACTGAAGGGGCCGGACCCTGCCAGTGGTGGGCCGGGGGCAGTGGGTGGGGAGGGGACATGTCCCCAGGGCATCCTCCTGGCCCCCACCCCGCTGGTGCAGCCGTGTTATGAAGCCTGGGCTTTGCAGAGAGGCCGTGTTGCGTGTCAGCGAGTCGGGAAAGCCAAGGATGCGGCGAACATCCTTCTCCTGGTGTTTGTTGCCACCTCGCGGTCTCCCTCGATCCTCATTTTTGTGTTGGAAAGGGCAAAAAGCAGCAGCTTTCTCCCCCCCCCTTCACCCACCACTCATCATTACAGACCTTCCCTGCGTCGCCCCTTGATCAGCTTCGTCCAGGATGAAGCAGCCTGCTTGATTTAGCTCTTCTTAACCCAGAAGCTCGTCTAGACCTTGCTCGTTCTTGCTGCACTTCCCGGATCTTTTCTGAGCCGGAGGCAGCAGAGCACTGGGGCAGTGGGATTTGCACGGGGCTGCAGAGATATTCCCCAAGCTGGCCATTTCCTGGAATTATCCATTACAGCTCTGCCATCCCTTTGCTCTGCGTAGGAGCTGGTTCACAGCCTGGTGCTGCTCATGCCGAGTCAGGGCTGCTTTGTGTTCACTCGCGTTTGCTTCACGTTTGCTCTGCGTTCGCTTTGCATTCATCTGTGTCAAACTTCACCCGCCGTCTTCTCACCCCAGCGCTCAGCTCCTTTGCAAATCCTCCGTCAGCCCCGGTCTTAGGGAAATAGGGCAAGGATATTAAGGGTGATTAAATTGGTGTTGCTAGTGCGTTTTGACTCTTCGCTATCACTTCCTTTTCTTGATGAGTTATGAGTACATCATGTGGCGGAGGCCTCAGCCAGATCACTGCCACAGAAGAAAGTGACTATCAATAGCCTAGGGATGCCTACCTCTGCATTCTGTCCCGTAAGCGGTTCTTAAATACATGAGGATCTTCCCTCTTATCCCATGGCAGCCGAGTTTATTTGGAAGCTTAATCTGCCTTTGTCGAGGGCACTCATCCACCACCTCCTGGTAGCCTGCAGCAGCCTTGGCAGTGTGCTCCCTGCATCCCTCCAGGAGCTCCACCGCGGTTGTGAGCCGGATTTTCCTTTACCAAAGCTGTGTCAGCTCTTCCCCTGTATGTTGTAATTACGCACATACCCACTAATTCTGCTCTCGGGAACACTTTCTACAAGTGTGTCCAATATGGATGTCATCCGTGGTCCTCTGGACGTGCCCTGCATCGCTGGTGTCTCTGTAGCTGCTTTGGGCTCTCTTTATTCCTTCCACAAACTATTGCTCAAATTTCTCTTGTTCTCCTCGCTGTATTCTTCCATCCAGTGGCTGGGGGCTCAGCCTTTGCTGTTTCCTCGCTAGGGCACAACTTTGTTCCTGAAAGACATCATCATACTTCTGGCAGCCTTTGCACCCGGCTGCAGGGCTGCACTAGCTTCCTCGGGGTCTTGCTTTAGTCCTGCACGGAGACGTGGTTTGCATCTGCTCCAAGCTGCCGGCAGAACATCCTTAAATAGCCTTTGTGCTGCCGACAAAAACTAAACCCTTTTAGCTGCCCCTTTTAGTTCCGCTTTAACAAACTTCCTAGTTTTTTATGTAGTTCCCTGTTTTAAATTCAATACTGCAGCTGGGGTTTGGCTTTTGGTGCTCCTGCAGGAACGTTTAATCCAAGCTAGGGAATAGCTCACTGGTAGTAATGTTTGGAGCCAAATCGAGGGTTGTGGGTTCCCAAGTAGCTGCTCCAAGAAGTAATCATTTTTGGTGTCTAAATTTAGTCTCAGCATCACTCCCTGACATGCCATTTGCCCAAAATACACCCCGAGGGGTGCGGGGAGAAACTGAACTCCCTGTTCCTGATGCGCTCGTGGGCTCTGGGCTGGCTGGAGAGCAGCACGCTTGTGGGCAGCCCCGTGGGGCTGGACAGCCCTCTCTCGGGGCATCCCCTCCTGCCCATATGTGGAGGTTCACTCTGCAGGGGTTCGGCATGGGATGCTGATGCAGGGACCTGGTTCCTGGTTTGCCCCTCGGCATCCTTTTGCTCACAGCCACCGCTCCCCAGCATGGCCCACTGCCACGTCCCCTGGGATCAGTGTGCCACCACCCCAATTCATCCTGTCTTGGGTCTGGGGTCATATTGGGGTGCAGATGTTGAAATGCTGGGGGGGAAATGGTTGAGGAAGAGCAGTCCAGGCTCAGGGGAGCATGTCTGGGCTTTCCACTAAAGGCTCCCTATTGGTGGGGTTCAGCACAACTCGGGTTGGGGCCGGGGCCGGTCTCCAGAGAGGTACGGACCCCTCTCCCACAGCGTGTTTGCAGCCAGCCCTGGTGGCACCCCTAGCCCCTGCACCGAGGTGGCTGGATCGGCACCCCCAGCCCCTGCACCGAGGTGGCTGGATTGGGCCGTGCAGGGGGCATCGCCTCTGTGGGGTGGTTGGGGCTGTCGGGAGGCACAGACCTCCCCATCCCACCCCACATCCCGCTCCACAGCCCCTGGGGAGAAACGGGCATCACCAGACACTGGTGGGTGCTGGTGGTGTGGATGTTCTAGTGGGTCCTGGAGCATGGGACGCTGTGCTGGCACCAGGCAGTGCAGGAGGGGACCATCCCCTGCCAGCTGAGATGGAGAGGGTCAGGACAGACAGTGTCCCTGCGCCCACACTCCTGGGAGCCTCTGGCCTTGCCTGGCTGCCTCAAAATGAGCAGTTCTGTTTTCTGAGCACTTGCAGCCCCAGTTTGGGGGGTGAGGCAGGGCACAGACCTCCACCGCCTGCCGTGCCCTGCCCTAACCCCCCCCTGCACCCTGTCCTCGCAGCTCCCTGGAGATGACCTGCTATGACAGTGATGAAGCCAACGCCCGGAGCGTCTCCAGCCTGTCCAACCGCTCCTCCCCGCTGTCCTGGCGCTATGGGCAGTCAAGCCCGCGCCTGCAGGCAGGGGATGCACCGTCAGTCAGGGGGACCTGCCGCTCTGAGGGCACCCCCAGCTGGTACATGCACGGCGAGCGGGCGCACTACTCGCACACCATGCCCATGCGCAGCCCCAGCAAGCTGAGCCACATCTCCCGCCTGGAGCTGGTCGAGGCATTGGACACCGACGATGTGGAGCTGAAGTCGGGCTACATGAGCGACAGTGATCTGATGGGGAAGACGCTGACAGAGGATGACGACATCACCACAGGGTAAGTGCCCGTGCCGGGGCTCGTGCCTGGACCGGGGCTCTCCTGGAGGTTTCATCACCTCCTGTTCGACCAGCGGTGGAGGGGCACCAGGTGCAGCAAGGGCAGATGGAGGAGCACATAGATCACGGCCAATCTGGCTGGGTGGATCGTGTCCCTGCGTCCCAGGAGATGCTTTCCCACTGGTGAGGCAGTGTAGCCCTTGCGGTGCTGGTGGTGCTAGGCCAGCCGGGGCTTCTCGGGGCCAGTGAGCCCCTGAGCTGGGGCGTGCTGCTCTACCGGCGTGCGGGAAGTGTCCAGCTTGATCTGGGTGTTCCCAGAGCAGGGGGCTGAGATAAGCACGTGGTGTGTGGCTGTGGGAGCCCCGAGCCAGAGCCCTGCTGGAGTGAATACTGCTGCTTTCAGAAGCACTCTCCCAGCTTACACCAGTGGGTCTGAGCTGCTGCCTCTGACCCTGGCACTGCGGGGACGTCCTGTGTCCAGCCGGGAGTGCTGGTGGCCCATGGTGGGACAGGCTGGGTCAGGTCTCGGCACCCCAGCGAGAACCAGGCACCGAGGTGTCATTGCCAATGGGTGGCACCATGGTGGAGCAGGGTGCACTGCTGAGCAGGGTCCCCTTCTTCTGGGACCCCCGTCGGCCTCCATCCCTCCACCTGCGGGGCCAGGGGTATCTTCTGCCAGGTGGGCACAACCCAGCACACCCAGGGTTCACATTTTCTTTCCAGACGCGTCCAGCTCCAGCTGCGCTGTTGAGGTGCCCCTGGCTCTGGCAAGGATCCAGGGTTTCAGCACATTGGAGGTTTCCTGTTTCAGCACAGGAGAAAATAAATAACTCCGGCATTTGAGTTGTCCCAGAGCAGGAGGAGGTATTTGGCCTCCTGACAGTGCTGCTCTGGCCCTCCTGGGGTGGCTGTAGTCACGTCAGCTCGTTGCAGGATAGAGCACAGCCCATGGCTTCACACCCATCCTGGGGGCCAGCGCTTCCCAGATGTGGCCCGGAGGCGCATGTTACAGTTGGAGGGGACCCACACTGAGGGGTGCCTGTGCTGGCCTCTGCCCCTGCAATGCTCCAGCTCGGGGGCGAGCGTGTCTGCGGCACCATGGGTATCAGACCCATCCTTCCCACAGGCACGTGGGGTGACCTTGGGGGGCTGCCCTGTGCTTTGTGAACAGGGGTGCTTGTGCAGGCGGATAACCTTGGGGTGCCCTTGGCTGCGGAGGCAGTGCTGGGAGGGGTGAGCCGGAGCATCACTTTGTCTCCATCAGCCACTGAGCAGGCAGAGTGCGGGCAGAGTCAGCCCTGGCAGGACCCTCCCGGGGCTCAGCCCTGTGCACTGCCCTGGGCAGGGTCCGCTTCTTCTCCCGGGAAGGGCCAAGCTTTGGGGATGGAGCCCTGTGCGGCTGAGCCTCCCGCGAGGCCCTGGCAGCACCACAGTCCCCCGGTGCGGGTGAGGCTTTCAGTGCAACAGTGAACTGGGCCGGCACCGCCACGGCCGGGTGCCGCAGTCCCTGCTTCTATGCAGGGTCCCCAGCGTGATGCCCTGGATGTGCCCCGAGGGAAATCCCCGGTGTCCTGCCGGTGGGTGCAGAGACAGACTGGGTCCTCTGTGCTGGGTGTTCTGTGCTGGGTACGCGTCCCCAGGGATGGGTTCAGGAGGGCAGCTGGGGCAGCACAGGACCCTCTTATCTGCAGGGACATGTCCTGGGGATCAGCCATGTCACCGGGATGTTGCTGGCACACAGGGCCGTGTGGTGACCTAGTCACAGCTCCATCCCCCATGGCCCCACAGCAGGACTCAGGGTGGGGGGGTGTCCCCCAGAGCAGGCAGTACGGCAGGGCCTCTGTCCCCAGGGGACATCACTGGCTGGGTGCTGGGGTACGCCAGGGTGCCCTGTCCAGGAACCTGGGCGCTGGGCGCAGGGCCAGGGCAGGGGAGCAGGGGCATCCCTTCCTCCCCAGAGCTGGCTAGGGTGAGGAGCTGCCTTGCCGGCTGGGAGCCCTCATCCAGCACAGCCCCTCATCCAGCCTCCTCGGCTGGCTCTGACCTAGAAAGCAAATACTGCCCCAGGCCCCATCTCCCAGTGCTGCTAATGCACCGGGCAGGAGCCGAATGCTGCAGATGGGGCCATCAGCCCGTGAGCCCGGGCCACCGGGCCAGCGCCTCCCTGCACCGCGCCGGCGCACACCCAGGCTTGTAGGGCAGTAGGTCAGAGGCAGCTCAGAGGACTCAGCGGCACGTCCCCCTCGGAGACATGCAGGGCCGTGGGATGGAACCCAGCATCCCCATGGCTCGCTGGGGAAGCAGCCTGGAAGGAGAGAGGGCTGAGGTAGGTGAGGCACAGCCGGGGCTTGGGGACTGTACGTGGGAGTATCAGGGTGAATTCGGCAGGGTGGTGGTGCCCTTCGGCCAAGAAGGCAGTGGGGGTCCTGGGGACCAGCTCAGAGAGGGGGTGGGATGATCAGGTCTGGTAGTGAGAGCAGGGATCGGCTGGGAACACCGCAGCCCCCAGAAGTGTTTCTGTATCAGCCGAGTGTGCTGGCATCCTGGCTCCTTGCCTGGCCGTGCCCGCCTGCCTGCATCCGTCAGGCCGGCACTTGCGGCTCCCCTCCACCAGCAACCTGCTGGCAGTTTTGGGGGGTGGAAAGCTCTGGCTTTGCCCTCCCTGTTTGGCAGCAAAGCCCTTCTTTTGTTCCCGGTGTCACCGTATCCTCCTTGTGCTCTGCAGCAGGGCAGCCCTCGGCCGGTGGAGACCCGGCACAGCCCAGGCTGGGAGCAGCCCTGCCCGGATGCGCCCACGCCACTGCCAGCACCGTGGTGTCTGAAGGGCCTGGCACAGGCAGCGAGCTCTGCTTAACACAGCAACATTCGCTGGGATGGTGCTGCTCTCCTGCCCTTTCCTGCCTGTCCTTGGGGCCTGGGCAGGGCACAGACAGGGACAGCACCAACCCCTGGGCTGTTTCCCTGGCACTGAAAAATCTTTGCTCCCTTGGCCGCTGTCGACTCAGGTTTCTACCTGCCACCACTCAGCATGCCTCTAGCTGTTCCATGCCCCTGATGCCAGTCCCTGGAGGGGTGCGGTGCCGCCGGTGACGTTTTCCTACCCCAGTCAGGCCGGGGATGTTTCCCAGACCCTGGAGGTCACCCCACTGGGAGGTCCGCCAATGTGCAGCCACCCACTGCCGAGGGACTTCTGCAGCTGTACGGCCACAGCGCGGTGCTGGGGCCACGATGCAGCAGCATGGGCGCCTTCGTGTGCAGACCTGTGCATGAATCAAGCAGCGGCGGAGGAGGCGGAGAGCACCCGAGCAGGGATGTTCAAGCCAGGTTTTGCCTGGTTTCGTCCTGGCCAGGTCCTGCATGTCCAAGCGGTGCCACCTCCTCCACGTGGAGCTGCTGTTCCCCCGGCAGTGTAGTGCGGCTGCATGTTGGTGCGTCTCCCCCTGTGCTGTGTGTGCTTGGGGACCTGATGTGAGCAGCTCTGGTGGGTCCTGGGTGCTGGCGCAGGAGCATGTGAGTGTGCATCACCCCTGGGTGTTCCCTGGGGCCATCCGGGATTGCAGTGAGGAGCGAGCAGGGTGCTGTGTGGCTTTGCTGCGGTCGGGAGCTGGTGGGTGCGCTGGCTCCCACCCCCCAGCCCTGTCTGCCTGGGGCCATCTTCCCCCCTCCCACACAGGACAGGATCCTGGCCTGAGGGCATGACAAGAGTGTCAGCTAGTCCCTGCTTTGCCCTGCTCCACCATGTCTCCTGGGCTCGGAGAGCTCCCTGCGTGATGTCATCCTTTCCACCACCCTCCTTTTGTCAGACCCTTCATCAGCTGGCCCGTTCCCCAGCCGTTTCCCCACAAACAGTGATGCTGCCGCGAGGGCGCTGGGGTGCTCTGGGTGTCCTCGGAGGGGTCCGTCAGGCCACTGTGCCCAGTGCCAAGGGCTCAGCAGGGTCCGAGCACCTCCCTGTGGTGCGTATCATGCTGCGAGGCAGCGCAGGGCAGCGGGTGGGGGTTGAAGGGACCTGCTGCGTGGCCTCAGTTTCCCTCAGTCCACCCTGCTGGCTGCCAGCGGGTCAGGGCAGGCTGTACCCGGGTTGTGGCAGGGCAGAGCCGCTCTAGGTGGGGTTCGTGGGGTGCAGAGGAGGAGGAGCACCTCTCCCCGGCTCTGGTACGCAAGGTGACCTATGGGGACACGAAACCTCAGCTCAGCCGTGTGCCCCGAGATGGTGCTTGTGGGACAGGCAGCTCCCCAGGTGAGGTCCCCAGGGACACATTGGGACAAGCTGACTCCACCCTTGGAGCTGCTCAAATACCCCGCGGTAGCAGAATCCCATGGGGACGCCCAGGCTGGACTTATCCTGGCCCTCTGGCAGAGCACGGGTGCTGCCGGGCCCGATCCTGCCATCCCCAAGCACAGGGCCAGGAGGGCAGAGAGGGAGTGAGTGGGGCTGGCTGCTGAGTCAGCACCTTCTCGCTGCGGTGGCTGCAGGAGCGCTGATGATCCGTGTGTGCTGCAGGGCCTTGGGCGTGCAGGCATCACTCTGGAGCTGATCCCTGAGGCTGTGCACATCCCCTGGGGCTTTCAATGTCCTGGGGAAGTCCTCGTGCGACCCCGGGATCGCTGTGATTAGGGGGTGTCCTTTTGGGCCTTGTTTTTTGTTGGGGGTGGAAAGGGAGGTAGCATTGTATCCCACTGCAGTGGTGGCAGCATCTGCATGCCCGTGAGCCAGGTACTGCCCTGACTCTGTTCATGGGCATGAAATGGAGCCATGGCAGCAGCATTTGGCATCAGGACTGCGGGGTGCCATGTGGCTCGGGGATCGGCACGTGTGTCCGTGCTGCAGAGCCTGTGGTCCCCTCTGGTGGGGCTGGGGGCTGCCAGCAGCCTCCCCCCGGGAGGGATGCTCTTGAGCTGGCACCCGCCGCGCTCTGGCTGGCCTGGCTCTGGCTTCCTCGCAGCTACTTGAGCTCGGAGCAGCCCGGAGGCGGGAGCAGATGTTTGGCTCAGCTCCCT